AACCTGCCATTTTTTCGTTGATGGGGTTTGCGGAGGAATGTTTTTGTTCCTTTCTATGAGACCTTTCATTAGAATATCATGATAAACCGTGCTCCCCTCTCCCCCTCCAAAAACTTTATTTGCCACTACTAGATGCATGTAGTGTAGGTATATGCAGAATTGGTTGTCATAATTATGTAAAAGTTATGTACGTTTCAATTTCAGAACCAGAATATTGAGAAAGAATTCATGTGGGAGCTAAAAATAAAAATGTTGACTCATCAGTTAGTCAGGACTCTTTGGTCAGGATCAAGCCAAGACCCTTGAGCTACCTACCGTATACAAAAAACGCGAAAAAAAGACATGCGCTTTAAGAATGTACAAAGACTTGTAGTTCATAAAATTATGTAAGGGTATTCAAGATCTGGCAGACTTCCTAAAGGTCTCTCGTGTCTACAAGAGTGTTTAAGAGCCTTTAAAGTGACCAAGTTTGTTTCTATAAGATTTTCCATTGGTGTCCATGCATATAGATGTGAAAGTATCTAGCAGATGTTTAAGATTTTTTTTACTATACTTGAGGGTATATAATATCCGAATCAGGAAGAAGACAATTTTAGCGAATTTGCAGCGTCTCTAAATGCATTTAAAGACCTTTTACACTTACTATCATTTCCTTGCGCTTCCAAAGCACTAATAGTGTTCATGATTTTTCTATGATCCTTTAGATTAAAAGTTTTCAAGCAATTCAAAGGACCTTGCGTAGACTTTGAGAGCCTTTAATTACCTCTTGGGCTATATTAACGTTCTTAAGAGCCTTTAAAAATTGTAAATAAGGGGCTTGCTTTGAGAACCTTTTATGAGTTCTAAAGTACCATCTATAGGCATTTAAAAGTGTTTGAGAGTCTCTAAGGGTGGCAAATGGTATTCCGTATTTCAGATGCTTAGAGTTCTTTAAATTCTTGAAATATGATGTAGTCACTGACGTTCTTATAAAGCTTTCAAAAGTTTGCAGAAGCCTACACTGATTCCAAGAACTTTCTAGACGCGCGTTTACTAGTCCTTTAGAATGTCCAAGGTGTTACTAAAGTCTCCGAAGTATTCTACAGTCATCTAGGCTCTCTATTAGCATTTAAAGAACTCTATGACTATTCAAGAACTTTCAAAAGTATTCAAGTGCCGCCAAGTGTCTTCAACGAACTTACAAATCTTTCAAGGATCCACTAAGAGGAATCTTCGAGTCTAACAAGATTTAGATTTACAAAGCTTTTATGAGGAAATGTTTATAGTAATTATAATTCCATTTGGTGACTTTCAATTGTTTCAACAGGATTCTAATATCCCTTAGTGCCTCTTACAAACTTTTGGCGTTTTGGCGCTTAATTAGGTTTACGTATGTTTAATATCCGAATCAGAAAGAGCAAAAACCATTTGCAAGCTTTAACATTTGTGATGTATTGAAAGGTCCTTGTAACCGACTGGTTACTTTTCAACTCTTCCTACCGTTTCTTTCTCAAACTATTTTATTTAGGGGTGGTTCTTCTTACATAAAATAATGGTTGTTGGGCGCCGGCTAGCTTCAGTCGTTGATCCTTTTCTGGGAAATGGGAAAGGATAAATGAATAAAATCAAGTCTTTATTAAAACCTATTTATGTTCTTTTTCTCTTAGAAAATCGCCTTTTTGCTGTAAATAATACACGTCACAAGAAATGGGGGTTGAAGCGGTACGTTCCTGTAAGAGTAGGGTTAACTCATTCATTCACAAAGTGCTCTCACGCACTTATTTGAATGCAATCCTAATAGGTGACTAAATCGCCTTTACAATAGCACAAATTTAAACTACAATCCAATAGTCTACGACGGGGCGAACAACAAAGATGATAAACTACAACGCGATCATGTTTACTGGTTTATAAATACCTTATCTATTGTTATTATGCACTAGGAGTCGGAGTGCAGTCTTGGTGTCGCTCTGATCGATGAACTCAGGACCGCCCACTGCAATCAGCCATTCGAGTTTCGGTTCGGCCAATCACAAGCAAGCAGATTTCAACGCGACTTTTTTGATACCCCCCAAGTAGACTGTGCACGGACCGCGCGTAGAACAGAAAGTCGAACTTCCTTCGGAAATCTCGCAATCCTCCTAATCCTCTCCGGAGTGCAGTGAAGGATCGTCTTCGCCTTTGATGTAGTGGCTGGAAGGAGATGTTTAGACTCGGTTCTTTCTCTTGATTTTCTTAAAAAAGTCGTCTCAATTCACTATCGCTTATGATTTACGAGCGCGACTGGCACAGATGTTGCTCCGTGAAAAAACGGCGGTCAACTGCTTGCTTGATGTTGGAAATTTCCGTATTTATACTCTCGTAGTGTTTATCCCGTGGGCCTTGGCCTCATTTCTACTTAACGCGCACAATCCACTTACGTTTATATAGACTGATCGCCCGTGAATAAAGCTTTTGCCAATTTGACAGTGGTATAGAACAGACGGATTTAAGTCGTTCTACTAGCTCTAAATGAATTAGGTATTTACAATGACTCGGACTTTGACCTTAACGTGAATACTCGATATTTGTATACAGTTTTACATTATTTAAAAAACAAATGTTCCCCCAATTCCCATCAAAGCGGGAGTGGTACCGGAAGTGTCAATATGCGATCGGATACATCGTAAGGTCACATACAAAATTATATTTGGCAATTTTTTTCTCGCGAATGAAGAGAAATATTGAGCTGATCTTCTTATCTCGAACACACTGTATATGATAAATAACAAATAAATTTTAAGAAATGACAATAATGTAAGTAGTAACGTTAATTAACAAACTTCAATATAATGTAGTAAACAGTCTAAAAAGTTCAGTTAAAATACATAAGAGGGCAATTGACTCCTCGTGGGGCCCGTAGGGAGGTAACAAAGCTTGGGTCTAGCAGTTTCCAAAAAAAGGCCTAGAAGAGTTTTTAGAATTTTAAGTCTATTTGAGTCTTCAAAGGTGTTAAATGCACTTTGAGCATACGCAACAAGATTAGTTTACATAATCGTGGTAAGCTCAGGAGAAGTAAAAATGGGTCGGGGTCGGTCGGGTCTACAACTAGATAACAAAGGAAACATAAATAAGTAAACCGGATAGACGTCGCATAGTCTTAGAGAAAATTTAAAAATAGAGAAAATACTGAGGGGGAATAAGGTAGACTAAGAGATCCTGGTTCTATTTTTGATAAAGCTAAAAGAGTAAAGAAGTTGATTGGATTGAACATACACAACAACTCTATTCAAAGAATAACTGAAATCGACGGCAATTTAATTCAAAAAGTATAAACTACAACCAATAGGTTCGAAACGTTGCAAATAATACTTGAAACTATACGAGCTTTTATGAACAAAGGATAATAACACGGAGTACGACGAAATTAAAATGTTACTTTGAAGTAACGGGTCGCAATCTCACCGAGCTCAGAAGGGCGCTCTCCGCCAGTTATCTGCAATCAGATAAAATACAACAAGAAAACAAGAAGGGGGTAGTGATAGTGCGGAATATAAATGCGGGAAAAATCTCGTTTATCGACTCTAATACTGTAAATCGTAAGCAACACTTACTAAAAAGCAATTCAATTCACGTTATATAGCAAAAGCACAAACGTAACGTTAACTTCAAAAACGAATGGCAAAAATGACTAAATTTCTATACCACAAAAGTTATGCAACTTTTCGTGCATCAATTTCAAACAGAAATCTACTGGAACCCCCTTAATCGTCCATGCTTTTTTTTATAAATTTTAACGTTTACTTGTTAAATTGCATACATCGTTAATATTTATTCCCTTTATAAACCTGCAAAATTCTCCCTACACAAGTCAGCCTCTTCTAATTATTAAAACGTTTCCTCTTTTTCTAACCTGCCCAAATTTCCTTGCCAAATTCATAGCTAACCATTTTTTTTTCACTTCCTCACCTTCCTCATTAAATTGCCTTTAAATGCTCATAATTTCCCTGTTCTTCTTGTTCAATCTTCAATTCACGTTTCGTGAGCGTTTCATGGCTAGTGTAATCGATTAAGTAGCAATTGGAAACTAAATTGGTATCTGAGGTTTCACTCGTATAAGAAACTCTTTGAAATTCACGTACAAAAGCATCGATGCCTGTCGAATTAGACAACTGCAACTTTTCCTTTCAGAGTTGCAACAAAGTTAACGGAAAGTAATTAAAACTTCACTACGGAAAAATGACGTTGCTCGCACAAGCCTTACTAGGAGTACAAATTTAGGCAATTTTGAACGTGATCTGTGAAAGCAATATGGCCCTTCGAGTGAGACGGTTTCATTTTAAACCTCTGGATATAAAGCTATCGTTAAAAAAGGTCGCTTGGGGAAGAGAATAAGTTAAACTAATAAGGTGTAGAAGATTGAGCCGAATTCAATTACAATAGCCAATACGGCGGTAGAACTTTATATTTTAAAGACTTTAGATAGGGGACGAAGACGATCCATTTTTTAAATATCCAATATTCCTTATTACACCTGCTTGCTCCATTGTAATTAATTATTAACAGCTTTGCATAATTAATGATTTTTATTCTAAATTATATTGATACAATTAATTTTAGTAAAATCGTTTAGGGCCTAGTTTTATAGCGTACCCCATTTATAGATATCACTGGATTAGGACCGTACATCCCCGTAGATATATCCCATTAAAATCGTAACCTCTAGTAATAAAGACAGAGTGCTAATGCAGATACACCCGGGAGTGTCATGGATGCGTCTACATAAAGAGCTGTAATTTGCGTTTGCTTTGTGTAGAACAAATACAGGTTCGCCTATTGTAGACGCGAGAGATGCTGTGCTTGTAATTAAGCGAACGTCATCTGCGACTTTAAGCTCTTAAACGACTAAATCCTGCTGGATGACACTATATCCTAGATATGCAGTGACCAAATAAGAAACATATTATTGATCATCCTCTACGGTAGCTTAATTAAGACTTAGCGCCACCCAGAAATGTTCTAAAATGTATTATTTGTTACAGAACTCCTGCATCGGGTGATACTGCTGAGCGGTTCCGGATTAAGTCCGTGGGCTCTACAAAGGGACCCTTTATCTGCGAAACGTAGAGTGGCCGAAGACACCGGCTGCCACGGCGACCTCCTGGACGACGATTTAGCGCCATGCCTCCGATTAAAACCGTTGGATGATTTATTATCAGTGAAAGTGAACCCTCCGCGATTTCTTCCCGGCTTCGCACCGTTCATCGACGGCACGATACTACTAAATCCGACGAACGCGCCCCCTACATCGAGCTCATCAACCGTAGCTACCTCAGCGGGTTTCGAACTAGCCGATTTTCCGGAACGCGATCTTTTATTTGGTTTAACTAGTACTGAATCGTATTTAGACCTAAGTGCTCAAGATTTAGAATTCGGTTTTAATGAAACAAGACGTGATAGGATTTTACGAACGTATGTGAGAAACTCGTACTATTATCATTTGAACGAAATTTTTTCTACGTTAAAAAATGAATATACGGACTGGGAGAGGCCAGTGCAAAACCCTTTGAGTGTTAGGGACGCGACCCTTGAAGTGCTAAGTGACGGACACACGTCGGCACCGTTAATTAGGATAGGATATTTACATTCTATGCGTGGTGGAAAAACATTTTTTCTTCACTTTTTACACCAAAGCGGAGAACGGGACTTTCCACAGGTAGGCAATTTGAAGGTACCATAATTATACACTGTGTCCAAGATAAGAGTATCTATCATGAGGTCTCTAAAAGCATAGAAGATAATATGATTGTCAAACTAGAGAAAAGATGCGCACTTAAAGAGTTATTATCATGCGTTAAAGAAAACCGAATAATTCCGATTACTTCCGAAGATACGTTGCGTTTCGGAAAAATCATTCTCAACTTTATTTTTAGCGCATTTTGTAAGAATTAAAATGTGCGATTGTTTGCGTTTTCTCCGTCTGTCCGTCGGTCTGTCCATGGACCCGTCTGTGGGCGTGGTAGTCCAATGGTACATTTTAATAGACCTACGAGGCGCCATTAAAAGTGTCTTACGATCAGTGATGCTTAGGCTATTAATTCATGAACCGTATCCTTGAGTATTACCCCTTTGCTCACAGCATAATCGGCTATTTTAAAATCTACAACGAGGCAAGTTACGATAAAGGCAATTCGACAATGGGGCAAGACTACGAGGAAAATAATTATTGTTTGTAAATACCTTAATTGTTTATACACTAAGAGTTCTCGATGCGCCTCCGTGGAGGCTTTAACGTGAGGCCTTGTTCCGCCCCCAGAGTTTGGAAGGAGTGAAAGGTACACGGACCGACTATAGAATTCGAGATGTCTCTGCCTCTGGTTGGAAGGCCTTGATAGTTAGCGGGCGTGGCTTCGTGGAAGTCTTGGCGTCTTCATTTTTCTCAGAAATACGGCTGGAAATTTCGTCCGGGCATTGCTACCGCTCTGTGATGATACTTGGTTCTCAGTATATAAGTTTCGTTCTTGTATAGGTATGACCGGGAAGATGATTCGATTGCAAATGCACGTTTCGAATCCGCAAGACAACCGGCGCAGATTCGGCAACTGAGGCTGCCCGTGCAATCACTTCACTTTTTACACGAATTCAATTATATTTATATCCCTTCTCTCAGTATCTACTGCAATTAAGTTCCACCTATCTCACTACGACGAATCGTTTATAAACTTTTACTTTTACCAGATTTTGTCACTTCGACTTCGGTGCTGAATAGACGTATTTAAAAGAACTCTCCGTGCGGTTATTTTATTACAATGATTCATTTCATTACCTCATAATTGCAACAAGTATTTCCTTCCAATGCAAAAACACATATATTAGCTTTCGCTCACGATTATACTTATATGTACCTAAATATAGCTTACGCATTCTTATCAATTTAAAAATTCCTATACAAATTTCCGTCTGGTTACAATGTACCGGATAATCTAGGGATTATTTGTTTTAAAAGACTGAAACGTAGCTCCTACTTACCAGAATTTAACGAACTAGTCAAGCCGAATTCTGGCGCTTTAGGCCAAAAACATTTTCGGCAAAATAATTCAAATATCATTTTTCGTAAATACCGTTCCAAAGGATTCATACACACCTGACATCGAAAATGTTACTCCGATTACATTTGGCGTTCCAAACTTTCAGTTTAAAAGCGAGTTTTAAATTGCGATTGTATTCAAACAAAGGCAGATTGTTATTACAATGCCGCGGGCAATTCTCTAAATATCTTTGACCATAAAATGACATGAAAATTACTTTTGTTTTTAATTGCGCATTATTCGCATCAACCCAACGGTGAACCTAAAGACGCTCTGCAAAGATTTAATGGAATTAAACTAAATTAGAAATCTCCGATTTAGTCCTCCCTCGGTGGAAACTTAATTTGTGTTTTTGTCGAAATTCCATTCAAAATGTTAATTAGGTATTTTCATACTTTTGTTCAACTAAGTCGTTTATAACAGCTTATTAGTTTAATATGGGATTTTAATTAAAACGAAATTAATAATAAATTCCCCTGGACATGTGAATAAAAAAATTGCCGTTAAAAACCGTTTAGGAAGTGTAATAAAAATTCTACCTCTGCAGGAAGCATTTTATTGCAGCGCAACGCGGGTGAAAAAACACCACATAATTTACGCCAGATATTTCACGGTAATTGAAAATATTGCAGTTGTGGACATTCTTGGAAACACGTACTTAAATAAAAGCCAGATTTAAAAAAAAAGAAAATCCACTTAATATTCAGAGGGAAGATAAAAGTCTCAACATTTTAAATATGCAAACGCGATTTTCTAAATATATAAATCTTATCACAGATACACGCCCTTTAGTAATTTACATCTGTGCTCGTTGTCAAGCTTTTCACGTCCTCTAGTAGAAATAGTAATACAGAATATAATATTCAGATGTGACATGTTTTTTTGCGTGATGGGTCATACGTAATTCAAAGCGTTTAGATATGTTTTGGTTTTCTAAGATGAAATAACGTCGCCATCTGTACAAACCACTGATACGTAAGTACTACAAAAAGTATAGGTAACACAAACCTCCCGATTATTCTTAACTTTTAATTAAACAAGATAGGTACGAAAAATCACATACGATTTTCAGTAGAGGAATTTTTTGCCACTCCGCTCGCATTCGGAAACCAGATCAATCCGGCCGTTGAGTGAACTAATCCTTCACTCGACGATCCGGCTCATATTCAATAGAACTGATCCTTGAACTCATAAAAATCGATTAGCGAAGGTTTCACATCGCCTCTTTTCGTTCACGAGTCAGACGAAGAACAAACGGACAGACGGACGGAAAAAATGATTCCAGCAAACACACTTACGTTTAACAAACGTCTGGATAAATTCGGTTTTGGTGGTATGGTATACGTTTTTGTGTAGCCGTATTTTATACCTACGTTTATAATACGATTTTTATTCATAAATATAAACCATAGCGTTCACGTTCTACGTTGATAATACGTATATAAATAACCGTTTTTAGCATCATTTGATAAACGTATATAACACCACTTTAATATACGTATACAGGGTGGTGACTTGCGTAACGCATCATATGGATTTCAATGTAAAATTCATAACATGCGATTATTGGCTCCCCAAATTATTTTAGAGCAAAAATGTTGTAAGGTTTTATGTAGAAAAAATTTTTTACGCCAAACAACCGTATTAGTTTTCATTTTTCTGCATAATAAAGACGGAAAATTGGAAAAATAAGACCCGCATCTTTTTTGAAAATAAGGTGAATAGCATTTGTTATGTTCCGCAATTGGTTCCCTTGCTTTCTCCCATGGGCCAGTTTCAACTTCCCTTTTCTTATTTCTTTTTTGCTCGGTTCCCTTACCGTAGTAGTACATATGCAGTGGCGGATGCGGCCGTAAACTAACGGCTTGGCAGCCTCAGCCGTGCTTCTCGACTGACGCAGTCGTCGGCTTGGGGAGCCGCAGTGGCACTTTTCGTCAGCAGCACATACAATTGTGACCTGACTATTAGTGACTCTAGTTTTCCCTTCAGAATTGTTTAACCGACCCGTCAGACTCTTTAATCTTCGATCTAGTCAAGACCTTCGCCCGGGGTCATTTGCCAAAGGGGTGGAAAGTTGGAAGGTTCAGCAAAGAAGAACCGTTGGGACCAGAGCTCGACTCGCAAATTTTGAATAAATTAAGGATTGCTCTGCTTACGGAGGCTGCTTTTCTTCCGGAGAAAATGTATCGTGACTAAAAAGTGAAACTGCTCGAGTGGGCCTTCTGTATAGAGGGAATTATCTCCCCCCCCCCCCCCTACACACACAACCTGCGCGGATCCGCGGCAATATACGAGCTAGTGTTCTCGGCCTCAAACAACTTAAAACTCTTGCTGATTTCTCGAAGAAGAATTTCCTCAGGGTCCTCTTCTCGAACTTATTCTCGTCGGTCTGCTCTAGAAAAGGTCACTATTCAGGCATTGCAAGACCTTTCTCGCGGATTTGTTATGCCGAATTCAAAAACGTACTCTTGGTATCCTCTTTCATGGCCTCCTGAAGCAACGCGACGCTTTTTCTTAGGAAATCCGACCTTCTGGTAGACATCTACATCGGACGAGGAGGGCGAGTTCGCTAAAAAAAAGGAAGTTCCTGCCAGCATTATGACTTCTATCAAGAGTTACAAAATCCCGTTTGTGGTTCGCCCACCTTTAATCCGCCTATCAACCCGGCACGTCAACTTCGAAACTTTCGGGCTGTACTCGATTATCCAACTTCTATTGCTCAAGCAATCTTAGAACACAACCGGATTTTTGTCCAAAATGTTTCAAGTGTTAGAGTGGTAGAAATAGAAAACCTAGGGATAGTGTGGGATGCGAAATCTAACCTTATCTTCGTATCCCCAAACAAAATTGGGACTTTACACAAAAATGTAGAAAATTCCCGAAAATGGTATTGGCAAATCCTCGGAAAATTGAACTTTGCAGCACAAGTGGGAGACCAGTGTAAAGGTATAAACATGGCATTATTAAAGAACAAAAGGGTTCTACTTCGTTGGCCAACCGATCGTTGGTGGCTCACATACGAAACCAGGGGGGGGGGGGCGAAGAGTTTCCCACTCTCACCCTTCTCGCCTCTCAGGTCGTGGAACTGGCGCAGCGTTTGAACATTCACATTTCGACTCACTATCCTCCCGGAATTTACAACGAGGTAGCGGACTGGCGCCTTTTCGACAGAATGACACGCTGGGTATTTGCAAAATAGGATACTTCTCAGATAGATGTCTTTGCAACAAAGAAATCACGAGTGGGCCCAATTATTCCTTGGCGTGGGTTTGCTCCACCTTGTTTGATTCTGAGAGTGCTAGCGCAGCTGAATACAGTCTTAGGGATGTTTATACCTACTGGAAGTGCACCCTTGGAAAACGGTCTTTTGGAGAACCGATCTCAAATCCCGGAAAGTCGCACCTCCGGGTACCTCGATCAAAAAATCTCCATTTGGAGATGGAAAGTTCGGGGTGGACAAAATGGTTGATCGATTGGTCCCCAGAGGGTCAGCCACTTCTTCAAAGGAATTGGAAAAGCTGGTCTTTAAGAACCTATGTTGCCCCTTGGAAATCTTGGACGGATTGGGGTCCTGGGCCTTAAGAACCTATTCTGCCCCTTGGAAATCTTGGACGGTTTGGGCCCTGGCCAATCGCATTCATTTAAAGCCGATTAACCCAGCCCGTTTGCTGTGGTTCCCTATCTCGTAACATCTACATAAAGTGAGGAAAGTAAGAAAAGCTGATACACATGAATCACCTGTTTACTACTTGTAGATGAAAAATGGGACCTGTTGCAAGGGCAGTTATCGCCGGCTGGATAAAAACGGCCTTTTCGGCAGCAGATATTTCATCGCACGCCACTTGATAGCACCGCTGAGCCCGCGACACAGTAGCGCGAAGTAGATGCTTCATAAGAAAGGGGTCTGAATCTTACCTTGGAAACTCGTATTCACACAAGCAGAAAACTCGAACGGGCACGCCGTTGATATGAAGTGACAACGCACTGTACTCCGCGATAAAAATTAGAGGCGTATTGACCAAAAGCTTGCCTTGACGAAACGTGGAAAGAGGAGGGAAAAGAGAATGATTTGGAAACCATAAACACACAAACGTGGTTGAAAAGGGAGGGGGGGGGTGGTTTTTCCCCGAAGGATAAAAGATGTACAGTGCGTTCGAGATAAGAGAGTCACCTCAATACCTCTTTCATTGGGCGAGATACAAAACATTTGTCAAATATAATTTTATATGTGGCATTAGGTACGATCTATCTGATCGCTTATTCAATCTTTCGATATCACATCCGGTTTAACCGTAAATAGATTTTTTGCGATATTTGAAAAGAGCAATCAATATGCTGTACGACAACATAAAATATAAATAGGGTTGATGTACAAAAAGATGGACAAATTTGTAATTCAATATTTGCTGCCAGGATGCACGGTGCCTATAGCGTTACCCCGGAGGGGGGGGGGGGGCGCATCGGGCATAACTAAAATCTTGAAAACGAAACATTGAACAAGTTATTGTAGGTCTTTTCTGTATAATATGGCACACGGCATTCTAGATTTCATCAATTTTCTAAATATTGAATCACGAATTTCTCCATTTTTTTTGTATGTCACCTACATACCGACCGTCTAGCCCCCTTTGGAAAATTTTGTTTACGTGGGAAATAGTACGTAACTTAAACTTCCAAAGGCAATTCGACAGTCACTCATTTTTGATCGCCCCATATATGCATATTTTGTGTTGTCGTACAGCAAATTGATAGCTCTTTTCAAATCCCGTAAAAAAATATAGGCATTGCATTTGAAAAACAAAAGTTGCATCAATTTCCGGTTAAACCGGAAGTGAAACAGGTATAAAATTACATTTGACAAATTTTTCGTATCTCGGCAAATAAAAGAGATATTGTGGTGATATCTCGAACAACCTGTATTTTTCAGGTCTTGCCTTGGGGTGACCACCTTCAAGCCCTTGACGGTGTCCGTCGGTACTGATGCGGAAAGAGTGGAAAGAAGAGGATGATGATATACGCACAAACGAAAAGAGGTCAACTTTGGTCAAGCCTAGGCAAGACGATGAAATATACCTATGGTTTGTTACTTTTCGGCGGAAAATCGTTTGATATTTTATCAATATCCTAATCGGTGCCATCATTAAGTGCCACTACACGGTACCGTCGAAAACCATGTTTAAAAATATTCCCAATGATGTATCGCACATGGAAGTTACTATTCAAAATTTTTGAGGGGTGGCTAATGGACTGAGTTACGAGGTTCGCTCATATTGGATTCCATTGTACACTTCCTCGAGAGGGTATTTGAGTATTTCGTGATTAGCTTTACATTTCCGATATATTTCCATTGGCCGGTTTTGAAATTCACTATTAAATTGCGTACAAGGTCCATTTCTTATTTTTACAGAAAATAGCTATTCTTACTTTCCGTTTTATTCCTGAACATAATGATACTATTTGAACATAACCTCTCGCTGGAATTAGTTTGAAGCATTAAATATTCAATGCTTGAAGAAAGAAATAATTTAAAAATGTAAAATCAAATCCCGTTTATCGCGTGTAATGTTGGTTGCCTATAGTCATCTATGTCGTGCAATAATATAATTATTATGTACCTACACGTCATCATTGTATTCTGATCCAAGGAAATAAGGCCTTAACGTCATCCTCTGCTTTTGCAATAGTTTGCGCGTAATAGAAATATTATCCAATAATTATGTACGGAAGCTTTGCTCATTTGAAAAAAAATGACACTCATTCCACAGAATCGGTCATTCCGTAAATACCAGAAAATAGAGCGTCGCCGTCCTATTGAAGTTCACAAAGAATTTATTCTCCGTCTAAATTCCAAACTGTAAAATGTAGAAGGGGTGTAAGTTGAGCAATTAAAAGTAAAATTATGACAACCGACAATTCTCCTGGAAAGTTAGTGCAAATTTCGTGCTTTTGCTCACATCTCCCTCAACTACTTTGTCGTATACTATACTAAAGATCAGCGCTTAATATTCAAATAGCTTTTAGATAGCTGCCCTTTAGGCAGTAAAGATTTAAGACCCGTAAGTTATGGCAAAGGAATGCGAACTGATACCGACTTCAAGAAGTTGCCTTACTTTGACTAATCAAATTGGCTTGGTTGCGTTTCATATTTTATGAAGAACTTTGAGTTTACTTTCAATAACTTATCGCGATTCGCGATGCGTAATCAATACTGGAACGGGGCGAGCGTGAAGGGAACGTGGTGGTGCAGCTTTAAGTCACCTAAATGGTTCTCAGTCTCTCCAGCATCGATAGATTTTTACTTACTTCCGCAACATTTCCTGCATTCAATCAATTTATCGGCGCTTTTCTTTAACAGTCCGGTTCTTGTTAACGGAGATTATAGTCGACATCGGGAAATTGTTGAGCCTTTTTACCTCGAGCACAAAAGAAAATATAAACAAGATATTTTCGGAGGAAAATGGGCCAAGGATGATGATGTCAGTTGAATTTTCGTTTAGTTTTATGAAATGTAGTTAAAAATTGCATTTCACATGGAAGGAAGTCCTTTCAGTTGAACAAACAGCGGGGGAGGGAATATTGCAGAAAAGTAGGCATGTGTTTGCTGTTGACCGGGACTTCAATTGTAAAGCTTCGTGCATATACACACAGTTAAAAGCGCCCTAAATTTACCCTTTAATCGTTCTGTAAACATGCAACTGAATAACCAAACGGAGTGCCCCGTAGAGTTTTATCAGAATTGTGTGTTTCAACTGGCGACAGTTTAGCGATCGAAATTAATGACGTTTGTTTTTCACGGAGCTCTTCCTTTAAATTAGGTCAGTCGTTATTAACTGAATTAATTTCCTTTTTTTGTTCACAGAGAGCTGGAAGTGTACGAGGTGAAGATATTCCATACGTTTTGGGACTTCCACTGGTCGGAGGAGGACCATTCTTTCCTCACAATTACAGTCACGCGGACGCCATTGTTGCTAAAGTGCTAATTCACTACATTAGTAATTTCGCAAGAAAAGGGTAAGTTTCCTTGTTCATTATTGAAACTCATAATTCAAGCTTACGTGACGTTTATTTGGAGTAGTGTTTTAAACTGTATTACAATTTCTTGGGATTTATTTATTAAATATGACACGTACATTAGAAAAAAGTACCGCTTCTGGCTTAATGTTCTTAAATCTTAATCTGATTATCCCTATAGCCATTGGAAACAAAAGACCATAGTGGGGTACAATTGGACAAATGCTGACTTGCAGAAAAAAGACTTTCTTTAAATCAGACATGATTTTCCACAAAATCATATAGTCTTTACTCTTTAGAGACAACATATTGCTGTGGCTCCACGTTGGGCGCCAATTAATAATGCTGTGTGCACCGGTCCGTATGCCAAAAAGACCGTACACAAAACACCTAAGCAAACCTAGCTAGCTCAAACCTTTATCTTTTTCGGAACAAAACTTCTCCCCAGCACAGAGGAGGAATTAGACTCTTTTCTCAGTTAAACTATTAACTTCTACCAGATAGTGGGTTAGACCAAATACCTTAAATTCCAATTTTAACTTAAGAATTTGGAATAAATAAAATGGACCTTGGGTAAGCATCCAAAGAAAACAGTAAATTAAAGGAAATGAAATCGTTCGAATGACATACACAGAAATTAATATGTGAGAATTACAAAATTCAAATTTAATTGTCACACACACAATGAAAATAATACAAGAGAAACAAACAATTATTACAAAGAAAAAAAAACTAAAATTAAAACTTATCTACTTACATTAGGCACATGTCCAGAACTGCTAATCCAAATACGGTACACAAAAACAACAAATTTCAAATTACACAAAAAAAACACTCAAGTCGGCGCCGACGACACCTTAGTGACGCACTTTATTGAAGGTCCAAACTTCCAAAAACTCCTCGAAAAAAAATGCCGCAACACAAACTTGCCGCAAACTCGACTTGTTACTCCGTAAAACGGAAACTCTACTAACTTCCAATGCTGGTTGGCTTCTACACAATCCAAACTACGGCGGAAACTCGCCGAAGCGAAATAAATTTCTTCACTAAACTCCAAAACTTGCCCTGACTGGCAACAAAACTGACGATAAACTTCAAAACTCCAAAACAAAACTTCAAACTTCAGCAAACGTGGATCTGCTCTCAAAGTCGCAAAACGCTGATTTCCAAAACTTCCACAAACGTAGTTCCGCTCTGAACTTGGCAAAAAGCCCTTCCTCATCTCCGTCCGTTCTATTTAAGGTGGAAACCCTTCTTCCAAAATAACAAATCATAATAGCCAATGATAAGCAGTTGACAACAGAAAATTTCCCCCCTAACGTACGTTAAACTAGAGGTAGAAAATTATTTTTATAATCAATTTTTAACAGACATTAAGAGATAACACAAAATTAAGATACTAGGAAAAATAGAATTTTCTTCCTTTTAAATACAACGAAAAGGCGATAAATAACATCCACCTGTCAATTAAATTAAGCGTTTACAATGGATAACAGAATAAAAGCGACATAAAATTCTCAGAAATCTACGTTAAAGAAAATTAAAAATGAACTTAAAAATGTACGCAAAAACAAACCTTGACCTCTTTCTCGTAACAATAATTTCTGTTTCAGTAACCAACGACACAAAACAAAAATTTAGATTAAGAAAATTAATTACATAGAAAATAGGAAACCGCCCTTGTCCATCCTACTTACGAATCCCCAAATTTGGTCCTGCCAGACGAAATAACACAGCAATATTTATCTATCTCCAGTACCTTTGGGTATTGTACACATGTAATAGCTGTAAAAGAATAAGCTATTGAAAAAAAGTGTTCAAATCTGCCCCACTCTACCCTATACTGTAATATACAAACTATTCACCGCTATTAAACACAAAACACATCCTATAGAAAAATGCAAATCCCACACCTTGCGTTTAAGACATGTTTTTCCCGTGAACCTTGATCGTGAAATGGTGCTGACATAGCTTTGTACCTAAATGGGAGCTGCTTCAAAAACTGAAAATTTCAATTAGTCTCACAATTAACTGCCCCCAGTCCTATTAACGCACACAGGAACTATAAAACTTATTTTCTAATAGATTATAACGTTACCATAATAACTTAGAGGTTCCTTATTTTTAAATTTGACCATAACAATAAAATCTCAGTAACTTCTAGTCCGCATTAGTTTGATGTGGCATCGATCTCCATAGAGTTCGTCTTTGTTAGAAATTCCCCTAGGTCTCAGTGCGAATTTGTTGGTATATGAAGTTCTTTATCTACGGAAAGTTGACAAATTTTGGCATACATTTCGTCCCAGATTAAGTGGATCCAAATTCACCAGGTCAACGATATTAAGCGATTAGTTTGCACATGCGATGTCGGACAAAAAAACTTTATGCGTTTACACATGTAGTTGTCTCTATTAAATTATTTATCCTTAACTCACCTTAAAATTCTTAGGATGTAGTGTTGATCCGACGACAAAACGAATTTATTTTATCGTCGCTAAATTAAATTAATTAAATAATTAAATTAAATTATTTTTGTAGAATGCCCCTCATTTTTGGTTAGAGACCAATTTTCTTCTATTAAAATTTATCACGGCCACTCAGGAGTATTTTCGTTCGTTTATAAAACAACCCAAATTTTCTAAGGGTAAAATTTACGATCTTTACATTCAAGCTGTCACTGCGCTTCTCTCAACCTTTACACCCTTCGCGATCAAATTTTCGTAGACTGAAGTCAGCGCCCGCAACTACTCGACAGCCTCCGCCACGTGCTTCGCCAACCGCCGATAGGTACCACCGTCGACACACCTCGTCCGCCGAAACGCTTTGTCAGCCGAAACGTCACGTCCGCCGAAACATTAACGCGTGACTCCAAAAATCCACAAATCGACGTAGTTAAATGGTTGGATCCCGCAAGCGGCATCAAGGCAATCCCCTGCTTTCTGCAAGCCAAAAAACCCAACTGGAAACTTCCATTAAGACCAACGCTAGCAGTAATTTTTACACGACGATTAGGCTGTCAAATTCGTCATCTCCATCTGTATACCTCTACAAGAAGGCTCGCAACGTAATAACCCGAAACGACGGCACGAGCGAACCAATATCCCTACGGCCGATTCTAACCAAAATTCATACACCGATCCAATTCTTATACTAAATATACTAAAATCTTGTACGGTGAGTGTGTTGTTTGTGTTTCAGTTTCTTGCTTTATTTGTTCCTACGTGTTACCTACGGTGATTTGCAAATTGCAATACGTTGCTCAGTTAAGTGCGTTAAATGTGGGTATTGTGTAATGAAAGCATGGTGTAATTTAGCTCTGTACACTGTCTTGTGTGTCTATCTCCATGTACGGACTGAAAATGAAGCGATTGTAAAGAAACAGTAATAATCGTTATTTGAACTGCAAAAGGAACTAAATGCTGCAATAAATTCAATTATAAATAAATAGTTTAATGTCGATGTCCCAAACTGCAGCAACCAAGAACACAAAGATGAATCAATACGACTTAATTCTACATACTTCTATTGAATATGCACACTCCCCGCCTTTGAAGCACCACGAAACCACGTTTGATTTTAATGTACAGCACCCGATTATCAAATTTACGTCCTTCTTCCTCTGGTAGCGCTGAATTACATTATGCCCACACAATAACTAATTATATGTACATAGTGTGATCTTTTCAGTGTTTTAGAACATTATCTGCTAAAGATCCCTATTCTTGATACATGCGTTAAATGACCACACAAAAAGGGCTGTGGTGATAAACTATTATAATACCTAATGCTGTGTTTAATGAAGTGGCCAGTTTGAGGGATAGTTACGTCTTGTGCTTATACAACGTGACGACGTGAGCATTCACAAGCCATTCTGCCACTATTTGCCTATATGCTTCACACTTCTATTGCAGTAAAATTCAGCACACAGCTGGTTACTCCCCATAAATACCAAAAGTGCTAATTTGAAAATCAATTGAAAGCACTAAACTATTCTCAATTTCATTTTATCCTTCCAATTAAGCTCCCCCACAATCTACCTACTCTGCTGATGAACTTTATTTCCCTATAATAAGTAAAACGGGAACGCTCAACTAAATATTTTTGCATATTAACAGAACGAAACAATGCTCCGTGCGAAACGGATTTAATCGAAAACTTTTAGCCTACTCTTGTAATGAAATACTTTTAGAGGATTATTGAGCTTTGAACCCGAAACTCGGCGCTTAGTTGCGGTGACACCACGGTCATTTTCGAGAACATCTCGAATTTCGCAGACTTAGGTACTATATATACCTATCTAACAATGGAGCTTTCACAAACGACTCATCCAACTCTCGCCCTCTAATGGGGTGTGAACTACTTTACCCCGGAACATTAATGGAAACTCGGGGAGATACGCGGCATCTATTAATCCAAAATTTGTTGTTAGACCGACTTGATTGGAAAAGCGAAAACCTTTAAACATCATTACGTTTGGCCGTTTAACGAGGCGAGCATGATAAATTAACTTTCGTTTAATGTTCAAAAGCAAATAACAATTTAATTGGATAAATCAACGGGATTTAATTGGGAAATTAATTAAATGAACTCTAGATCGTATAAAAATAAACCAATACAATAAACTTCATGCCACATTAGGCAATAACGTACCCACGCACGAACATATTAACGACGCGCGCCCTTAAAATGGGAAAATATCGTTTATAAATTGTAGTTGTTTGGTCCTTCTTCATTATCTGTCCAAAAAATGTAATTAATCATGTCACGCTAGTGCATTTTAGTAACGTACTTGCAGTAATAGGTAAACGCGATTCTTCACTTCATTAAATTTTTTCTAATTTAGAATGACACGTCCCAACTACACAATCGTTATTTTTTTGAGCTTCAGTGCATGCTATATCATAATACACCGTTTGCAGCATAGACTCCTTTTTGCGCGCGATGTTTTCTCTTATCCGGGATCAGCAATATACACTATACAGCCTGTTTCATAGTAATTT